TATATATATATATATATATATATATATATATATATATATATATATATACATACATCATTAATGAGTAAAATGACCATGGCAAAAATTCTAACCATTATCGTATATATATATTAACGTTTGCTAGTATAAACTGAAAAATATTACAGACAATCTAATTTATACACATCAAAACTCAATACTTCTCAATAACTCAATAATGCACTGCTTTTGATACTGTCTCACATAAGATACTTCTCGACAGGTTAGCTTCTATTGGGATTACTGGCACTGCTCTGACTTGGTTTAGGTCGTATCTTTCTGGACGCACTCAGCGTATTCAATTAAAAAGTTTCAGATCAAGAACATCTACAGTCACCACTGGTGTTCCCCAGGGTTCTGTTTTGGGCCCGCTTCTTTTCATTCTTTATATACTCCCTCTTGGTTACATTTTGAGGAAACATGGTATTCATTTTCATTGTTATGCGGATGACACCCAACTTTACCTGTCTGCCAAACCCACTGGTTCTTTTCCTCCACCATCTTTGTCCAGCTGTTTAGCTGAAATTAAAGATTGGCTTTCAGCTAAGGCGCCATTAAATAAAATGCATTATTATTATTATTATTATTATTATTACTTCTGAACTGTCTGTCCGAAACAAGAATTTATCATTTAATTTGAAAAAGAAATGTAAAATGATATATATAAACCTTACCCTAAATGAGAAAGATCAGATGCTTTGTATATATATATAGGACTTTTATTCTGAAAAGCGTGTCATGGATGCAGCTGCAGTACGTACACATGTATAACACTGAAATCGTTAGCTTCATGTAGAGGATTTCAAACGTTTTAAAGGATATAACATCCATCTGTCGTTTGAAAGCACTTTCTCGTTTTCAGCGCGGATTCGCTGAAGGTAAAGTGTGCTTGTAATGTCAGTGTGCTCGCGACTGAAGGTCATGATTAAGCTGGTTTCTGAACACGTTTATCATTGATGGAGATGCTTTGTAATCTCTCTGCAGCATGTCTGTGTTTGGAGGAGTGTTCCGTCAGTCCTCGGCTCGACTCTTCAGCACAGGTGTGTGTGATGCTCTCTCTCTCTGTGTGTGTAATGTGTGGATGTGAGTAGTGTTGTTGCTGTATCACGCAGGCACGTGCGCTAGAATACGAATGCACGCTGTTCCCAAACTGAGAGAGCTGGACCGATGGACGGAGAAGAGAAGCATGTTTGGAGTTTATGACAACATCGGGATCTTGGGTGAGCAAGCATATATTCAAGTTCCTGCTATTTGTTAAATAATTCTCATCTGTGTATTTCACTAGAGAATGTATTTGGGATTCTTACATTTGTTTTCAGTGCTGCCAGGGCCGCATTAAGACCGCACTGGGCCCTGGGGCTATGACTTACTGCAGGGCCCCCATCACCATAATGATATATATATATAGGGTACAACGGGGCTAAAAGCCCACTTTAAGAAAAAATGCATCAATTTCAATATCAATAAAAAATAATACTAGCCTAAGTAAAAATAAGCTTACTGAAGACAAGTAAACAGTCACAAATTAGGCTACAACAGAACAAAGATCATACAAAAATTGCCTACTTGAAAAACTTAAAGCATTGAATAATAAATATATTGTATAAAGAAAATGTGCAAATAGACTGAAAAGTCTTCACTGTATAAATTCAATATACATTCATTCTTATTTATTTTACAAAAGTGATTCAGTCAAGGACAGCAAGTAATTTTCTTTCCGATGTTTGATTTACATTATTGACACAAATGGTAACAGCAGCTATAATAGGCTGCATTATAGTTCACCCAAAAATGAAAGTTCTGCTGATGTTCTAAACCTGTATGAGATTCCTTCATGCTGTTGAAAGAGAGGTGAATGCAGACATACTGGGCAGCAATCACCTAGATACGTGCGCATATCGTTCAAAAGTCAAATATAGAATAAATGCATTTGATTGGTAAACCAAATTCAGACTTTACGTTTCAATCTCAAATGGTAATGCATGGAATTTACGGAAAAGCTCAACTAAATAACAGCGCTAATAAGTGGGGGGCGTGGTGGCTTTGGCGATCGGCGCTCCAGTCAATCTACTCCACAGCCAATCACAGGCCCCCTCCTTGCTCGGGCCCCGGGGCTTCAGCCCCGCCTAGCTCTATGGTTAAAACGGCCCCGAGTGCTGCAGCAGACTATGAGTTGAGCTTCAAAAACAACCTGTGACAATTATTTTATTTAACTGAACTCAATAGATAATTGAATTCTAATTCTCCTTAGATGGTTTAGAAGAGCAGTCTCGGTAATATGCATTTCATATTACAGTGTTTGACAAGCTACAATAAAGGTGTTCTTTTCTTTTTCTTTTCATATGCTGTTTTTGGTGTATTGCACGCGAGTCAGTTTGTCTCAACACAAAAGTCGTAAGAAAATGTGTGCAGCCTGCATATTTGTGTCAGAACTTTGCATGCACATGCATTACCCTAAATGAGAAATATTACAAAAAATAAACAGTTTAACCAGTATTTCAAGCAGTTTGAAAAGTGAATGCAGGTCAAACTGAACCTGACACTACAGGAAGGTTTTTAAATGTTTTTTACTAATCCTCATCGAGTAATCATGCACTACTGTAATAAAAGCCTGCATCTCATTATCTTTCATCATTTTGCCAGTATTCATATTTTTGCTCTCAAATCAATTAGAGACAAAATGTGAACATACAGTAAAGATACGGTAAAATTAAGACTTTTTTACTAAATGAACACTTTTATATGCATGCACCAAAATAAAAATGCACAGCAAAAATGTATTTGATATTAACTTGTGTGTAAAATGCCTCACAGAAAGTTCCATGAACGCGATGCAAACAAACAAATCATTGTATTTTGAACTGATTCATTCTGACTCATTAAAATGAATCGTTCCTTCTGGTTCTAATGGATCTCAACTGGATCTTAATCTTAAATCTTAAAACTGGAAATCATGACACAAGGATTGACCTACCAGGAGAGTCTTTAGGAAATATAATGGACAAATATTTCATTACAATGTTCATATCACCAGCAATTAATTTTCTAAATCTTCTGTCAGCACTAGGCTGTATGGTTTAATAAAGTAATTGAAAAGTTACACTACTTGTTACATTTTAAGTAGGGTAACTTGTAATCTGTAACCTATTACATTTCCAAAGTAACCTTCCCAACACTGGCGAGGTGTGATGTTTGAAATAGTAAGAGTTATTGGAGATGTGCACATGTCTACAGACATGAACGTGCATGAAAATACGTCCTTTTCTTGGTGGAATATAGTTTTATACATTAATGGGTCATCGGTCACTGACACACTACTGTTTGGGGTCAGTAAGATTTTTTTTTTTTTTTAAAGAAATTAATACTTTTATTCAGCAAAGTCGAGACATTTATAACGTTGCAAAATATTTATATTTCAAATAAATGCAGTTCTTTTGAACTTTCTATTCAGCTGTGAATCCTGAAAAATAAACTCTATCGCAGTTTCCACAAAAATATGAATGTTTTCAGCATTGATAATAATCAGAAATGTTTCTCGAAGCGAATGCTGACCGAGGACAAGCACAGCCTGGATAAGAGGATCAGCTTCCTGTACCGCCGCTTCAACAGATACGGCAAACACCGATAGACTTCCGCCTTCATTTGTCCTGATGTGGAATTCAATTTGTGAGAAAAAAAAAGCAAGCTGCATTTCCATTCATTAAACTGTCAGAATTCCTTAATGTTGTCATCATTACAAAAGATTGACCTCGAATGCTGAAGAGTTGCATTAAAAAGATTTATTTAAAAAAATGCATAATTTTGCAACAAAAAAATTCTTATTGATTCCTGAAAGACAGTTGAGTGATTTCCCGCATGCTAATGAGCCTCAGTGTGCTCGTCTGGTCTGGGATCAGCGAGGACTGAAGAATCCTGTGCCGTGACCGGATGCTCCGACTCCATCTGACAGGAACAACCAGAACACACACTTCACATCAAGCGTCACTATTGCTGCTGCTTATCATTTTGCGAGGTCCAGTGTTGGGGAGTAACTAGTTACATGTAACGGAATTACGTAATTTAATTACTAAATAAAAGTAATTGTAATCAGTTACAGTTACTAAGAAAAACTTTGTAATTAAATTACAGTTACTTATGAAAATGTTAAGGATTACAAAGGGGGTTACATCTGATTTTTTCACACATACTCCCACATACAGATTTAATTGAGTTCTTTCATAAATTGAAACACCAATGTTTCAGAAGTTTGTAACATGCTTATCCGATAGGGTTTATGTATATGCTTTATTTTTTTTAAGGTTAACAGTTTTTTTCTAAGCCATTGTTAGATTCCAGTGTTTCCTGTCATAGCTAAGCAAAGATTTGATTTCAAAAACAGTATCATAGCTATTAAACTATTTCTTGTTATGATTTTAAATATGTATTTAACCTCAGAATGATTTTAAAGCAAGTCTGAAATCTGCAGCTGGATCATGAACAATGGGTACTGATCCATCCTTGAGTTTTAACTTTTTAACAAAACCTGCCTTGAATTGTCCCTCATTCAGAAAGCAGTCTGTAGTAAAATGATTTGCGCAGCCAGACATAAACAAATTTAGTGAAAGTGAATTGAATTGACATATGGCTAAGTATGGTGTCCCATACTCAGAATTTGTGCTCTGCATTTAACCCATCCAAGTGCACACACACAGCAGTGAACACACACAC